GGGACCCACACTGGAGCAGCCTGTTCCTGAGGGACTGCCATGTCACCCCGTGGGAGGGACCCACACTGGAGCTGTTCCTGAAGGACTGCAGCCCCTGGGAGAGACTCACATTGGTAAGGTTTATGGAGGACTGTCTCCTGTGGGAGCATCCCCACACTGGAGAGGGGGAAGAATGAGTGGAGTCCTTGCTCTGAGGAGGAAGGAGTGGCAGAGACAGCTTGTGATGAGCCCATGAACAAACTCATTATCTGCCTTCAGGATAGAGAAATCTCATCTCTTGTGGGTGGCTTCTCTTTCTTACTGCTTTCTTCAAATTCTGTGAGATAGCATAGAAGGAAAGATTGGTTTTCTGATTGCTGGGCAAGCGGTCCCTCACAAAATCTGCCAGCTCTCTGAGCAAAGCTTTCATTTGATGGGTACAATTCTACCTCATACTGCTTGCTTTCTCTCCCATGCAAAATTTGTCTTTCTAGTCCCCTTTACCCTGCAGAGGTGCAACTTAAATTGGAAATTTCATTTTCTCCCAGCTTACAATGGGCCCTGATCGTGCTTCTCTTTGGCAGGAGATAAATGTGATGGGATACAATAGCAGAGTAGAGAGAAAATGAAGCCTTAAATGTCTCAAAATCCTTAGACTAGCCGCTCAAGCTTTTTTGTTTAAGCATGGATGGGATGAAAGACAGGCTACTTAGTGCAGCAGGTTTCATAGAAGAAAGAATCTCCTCATTACTTAGCAAAAGCAGGCACAGCATGCAAAAGTAGTCAAGCAGCAGCAAACACAGTAAGTAGTATGAACACAACCAAATGCCACTAACAAATAATACAGAAAGCATAACTCAGATCTTGCAAAGACAAGGAGAGAAAATAGCAAACCTCTAGGAGTGCTTTGTGAGACTGTTAGCAGCACACAGTGTCATTGCTGTTGGTTCATGCATGCCTGCATGCCAGCAATTGGGTTGCCTGGTCCTGTGTCCCTCTTCTGCAGGGTCACAACATCTCTCCTATGCTCTGTGCAGACAAAAAGCTGTTAATGTGCAAGCATCTATAGCACAGCCTTGTATTCAAGCCCAAACACTTCCTAGAACTGCCTGTCTTTTTAGATCCCTTCTGCTGGATTTGTACATAAACCTTTATACAGCTGAAAGCTGAGGGAATTTATTTTGTGTTGCAACAGAGCCAGAGAGGGGCCCAAACACACTTGCACAGATAAGTGATGTGACCAATGCAGGGAAATAGCAGAGAAGCTATCCACATACTCAGCTGAACTGTTAGACCTCTGCAATGTCAGACATGATCTTTAATTTTGCCAGGATGTGGGTATGAAAACGGCTTTTTAAAAATTTCACTGCATAACTTTAATTTCTAAAATGGAGTCTAACTTAATGGTCTGTGGAAAACAGATCTCCAGTGTTCAGATTTTGATTTGGTATTCCTGTTTACTGTTAGCTAGAAAGACACAAAATCTGTTATGACACTCCTTGCAATGCTGTCAGTTGTTTGAAGAAATACAATGGGAGTTAAAGAATATCTATATTATTTTCACTGCAAAAAGACTGCTCTGGGGTCTTCAGGGCATCCTTCAGGTGTTAGGTGTGCGTGTGTGATGCCTTGGTTCTTCTTTCTATCTATTTCAGTCTAATAAAAGATGTTAGATCTCCCTGAATCTTTGACTCTCTCCTATCCTTAGATCATAATTACAAAAAATTACTTTCTACAGAGGCAAAAATGAAGAACTTTAAAATTCCTTAAAAAGAAAAATGAATTCAGGAAGGGCTATTTTTAACGTGGTAGGCACAGATTTTTTCCACTAGAGATAATTAATCTGAAACTTTGCCCACAAAATAAAAGTCCAGAATTAACCCCCTCCCACCAAAAATAAGAAGCTTGTAGCAGATGGGAAAAGTCATGAGACTAAATGATTAGCACTTCAGATTAAATGTCTTTTTCGTAAAACAGAAAGCAGTGTATCTACTTCATGACAGTCGTTACTATATCAAAGTACTCAAAGCAGAATACAATTATATGGAAAAAAAAGAAATACACTTTTTCTCCTTATGAAAAGAAAGTTGTCAAAAGAAGGAAAAAAAATACTCTCCCATGAAGACAGATCCTGATGAGATGTATGATCTTTTTTGTTCTGGAGAGGGGAGGGGAGAAAGAGAATAGAAGAGAGGAAACAGAAAAAGCAGCCCCAGGATAACAAGCTTTGTGTGAAGCAGAAAATCATACCCTTTGAGGGTCATTTTCTTTGAGTTGCTGCCTCAGGGAGAAAGGAGACAGAGATTGAACATTGGAGGGAAAGTCCACATTTGCTTATGAAGAATCATTGTGCCCTGAAATGCTTTGGAAGTAGAGAGTCATTTTTGGTCCTCTGGGGGATGTGCAGATCCCAACAAACAGTTTGGCTCAAATTGTGCCCTTTACCTCCAGCCCACTGGCTCAGTATGCTGAGAGATCGGCTCATCAGCTGGGATGCAGGGAAAGCCCAGGATGCTGAGCATCGCCGGGATGCTGAGCGCAGGAGCCGTGCCATCGGGTCTGCCCGTGAGCAGCACTGCTTCTAAACAGGGATCTGTCCTTCCAGCTGTCCTTCCTGGCGGTGATTGCCAGCCCTCAGCCGCGTGTGGGAGCACGGTCTGCCCTCCCAGGAGCGGATTTTACGAGGGAAGGGAGGCTGTTCCCACTAGGTGGAGCCTGAGCCCTTCAGTCCCGCACTCGCGCTCCTTCCCCCGCTCCTGCACAGAGGGGTTTGCGCCCGTCTCAGACCAAGCAGGTCGCAGCCAGATAGAAACCTGAAGGCATTTCTAGGGGGTAGGAAGGTCATGAGATGTTTTTCTGCGGATTAAAAAAAAAAATATTTTAATTTATTTTATTTTTTTGTTCTACAGTAATGCCTGTTGTACATTAAGCTAGACAATGAAACCATCACATCCATCCATATGCTCCCTGATACAGCTGGTACCAGTATAGATGTGCTTTAAATCAGGCTACACTTAAATTAGTGCTAGACCCTTAAAAAAAAAAAAAAAAAAAAAAGAAAAAAAATTTGCAGAGGCAATGGCATTGCTTGAACTATTGAGCTGCTGGGCATGAAGGACACTTCTTCAAAGTGTGCATGTAGGAACTGAAGAAAAAGTTGCAAAACTTCCCCAGGATCAGACTGCCCCAATGCTGTGCAAATGGAATTGTATATCCTTGATGTGGGACTGGGGGAAAAAATAGAAAAATTTAGATGGAAGGCAACTGCATGTACCTACAGGTTTAAATAATCATGGTTTGAATAATCAGGCTGCAGCTCATACTTATGCCAAAGTTGGTAGGTCAGACCAAGCACTTTGGCTGACTCTGAATGGATTAGCTGGCAGTTGCTGAAAACCCTGCCCAACAGTTTCATTTCCATGGCCTTTTTGGAAGAGGCACTCTCTTTGCTTTGCACAGGAGTTCTTCTCCCCATTGTGTTCTGAGTCAGGAGTGGCAGGACCGGCTGGACAATGGTGATTGTGTAGCATAGTAGCCTTTTAGGTTTCAACCTTTTCTTCTTCATAGGGTCAAAGATAAACCTCTTAGATGCTTTGAAAAGCATGACCCCTGTCTCTGGAAATAACTGAGGTGTCCAGCACTCATCAAAGAAACCTTTCCTTCAAAAACATTGTCAAAACTGAGATTTTTAAAAAAGCTTTGGCTCTGATGAAAGCCAAATGATGAAATCGGTATGTATTTGATGGGAAGTGTTCCAGCCAGCTCTAATAAGGAGCACTACTCAGTATTTTAATGACAACCTTCAATAGCAAAACTCTATTTTGGCTCCTTTATGTTCCAACTGCTGTACTACCGGGGCAATCTCCCAGTCTTTAATGTATTTTTCCTCACAGTATACCTGGAAAATGCTATTGTCCTGACTTTACAGATGAGAAATGGTAGCACAGGAAGGTGAGGCAACTTACTGAAGATCGTACAGTCAAGTTTGCAATGGAGAAAAAAATCATTCCCCTTGTCCTAAATCATAAGCTAGCACCGCAAGTTAGTGGTATTTTTCTGTTATATGAACGCAATCAACTCTGTTTAGAAATTGAGAGTATGAATAACCTGACAGATCATTTGCCCCCTACAGAAGAAATGTAAGACAGAGATCCTTTGTAGATGAGGTCTGTGGGGTCCTCTGGCAGTGGTTGGGGTGCCCTAAAAGAGTTGTTATATATTTACAGAAAACAGAAAAAAACCCCACCCTTTTTATGCTTGTGCTTCTGTCTTCCTGCTCCCGATTTCCACACTGCATTTTTGGGGCTTACATACTGCAGATGCTATCTATAAACTCCCCCTTCAATTTTAAGTGAAGTGTTTATCAGGTGGGAAAATCTCTCCAAAAAGGATAAAAATATCAGAGACAGCCAGACAATATTTGGTTCACTAGAGAAAAATATCAGTTTCTTACAGGGAGTAGAGGAAGCAGCAGAAACTGTACATAACCAGAAAACAAAAGCATAATTGTTAATGTTATTTGAAATCCACGAATGCCTTATTTGGTGCTCTCACCTGAGATGGAAGACCATCAGCTTTTTCTAAATGAGCGTGCTGATATTTTCCAGTAATTCTCAGTTTTAAAGCAGTGACAGGATTTCAAAGGAAGAAAGACAAAAACAATTTTCTGTTGAGAAATACAGTCCATAATTCAGAAGACACTGAGGATGCAGAAAAAGAGTGACAACAGGCCAAGTGTAAATTGTCAGGTATGATTTTGTTCTTCAAATAAAACGTAAAAATGATGGTGTGGTGTTATGCATGCTCCCATGCTCTTTTTCTATATGAACTCCTCTTCAATATTGCAAGCTGAACTAATGACATTTTCCAGTTTCTTATTTATTCTTCTGTCAGCAAGTGACGCAGGATGATCAGTGTACGGTTTTGTGGTTTCATTTTGCTTTCACTTCCTTTGTCCTATGCTTTGCTTAAGCATACGTGGCTGGATATGATTACTTGCATAAAGAATTCAGTGAGGGGTAGTGCCTTGGTTTTGTGTCAGAAGAAAATAATTCTTCTAATCTAGGTGCAGAACTGGCACCTAACTGTGCTACATCCCTTCATTTATAAATAGCCTCAGCACTGCAGTACAGAACTGCCTTTATACAAAACCCTAGGCATGGAGAAGAAGGAAGGCTCTGGGGTAGCTAGTGTCTGTCCTCTGCCTTAAACAAAGAGAATGCAGGGTGACAGACCTGTGGGGAGTTTTGAAGGAAGTAGAGTATTGCTTTTGGCACTCACTGAAATCCTCAGAGGTATCTGACCTGTTCAGGTGTCCACAAAGTCATGGCTCGCCATGGTCAGACTGATAGGGTCACAGACTGATAGGATGAGGTACAATCTCCCAGGCAATTTCTTAGGGACAGTAGTACATAAGAGTCTCAAAGTGGAACCAGCTGTGAGCTGGTTCATGGTCTGTGGAGATCAGTGACCCAGCTTTCACCTGGGTTAGAGACCCCCTGCAGTCCCTTGCAGCCTGAATTTTTCCATTACCCTGTGATGACACAGTGATCCTAGAGTCATAAAGGAAGGAAGTTCCTCGTGGACTTCCATTCTCTCCTGTCTTCTCCATGGACCTAACAGCTGCTAGCTTTGTGCAGTCATGAGTGCTGGGAGATCATGTTAGTTACTGATTTAAAGGAGATTTTCCTTGAAGTCATCTGTATATTGCTGGAATCCTAGTTAACCTCTTGCTGTCTTTTCACATAGGTTCAGATAAAGTGTGAATAGTTTGGAGAGGAGGGTTTGGAGACAAGGATTTTTGACACAGAGCTACAACTTCTGCAAAGATCTTGAGACTTAGAGGTTTTCTTCAGCTGTCTAGAGAGTGTATTTTTTACATGTTAGTACTATGGTGGTGCTAAGACGCATTGCTTAGAGGTGGAATTCAAAGTGCCAGGTTAATGGTAGACTTCATGATTTTAAAGATCTTTTCTAGCCCTTATGATTCTATGATTCCATGGGTTTGCACAAGTAGATGCTAGTTTAAGCATATAAAAGCATATGATAAACAAGAGTTAAACAGAAATGTAATTCCTATATCTAGTTTTATTACAGAAAATCTTTGCATCTTCCTTTTTCTTGGACCTTGGTAGCGTTTTATTTTAATTTCAGTATCTTACTGTAGTGAGGAAACCAAAACTAATTCAGGGCCTAAGAACATCTTTCATCACTTCTTGCTTCTTGTCAGAAAAACAATTCCCTGCCATGGGAAGACTGTGCCAGGAATTTCCCTGCAGGCCTAAGTTTCCACCACTTTGGAACTTCGAAATGTTGAACTTGCAGTCTGGAGAGAGGATTTTCTTTCCAGAGAATATGAAAGTCATCTTGAAGTGGTTTTGCAGTGTTTTTTTCTTTCGTTTTTTTTTTCCCTGTATGTATATAATACACACCTTTCTCTTCACTCCTTCTTCCTGCTGTAATTGCCTCTAAAACGGTTTTGATGCACTTCCTTGGTGTGTGTGTGTGGTAGCTCATGTGTGTAAGGCTCAGCTGGGTGTAACTGTTGCCAAATAATGTTTGTAAATATTATTGTCAAAAAAGCTTATTTCCCTCTGGCATCTTATTTGTGTGCCTGCACAACTTTGGGGTGTGAGATTTTATTTATGAATATATATGAAAACAGGAGTATCAGGAAAATTAAGTAACTTGTTACAGAAATATTTGTACAAAATTGTCCTCTCAGAATAGTCTTTTAAAAGCTTTTTTCTATTTTGGTGCTGTAATGTTCACTGAACATAGTTTGTAAAAAAAAGAGGAAACCAATTTTCCTACTTTAATATGATTTGCATAATCCCAGAGTGCTGGTCACCCAGTTCTGGAACAGAAATTGTCCTGTGTGATTCACAGGGGCAATCATAAATAATGAGCTCTTGTTCACCAGTTTGTGAATAAACCCCCGGCTAAGATGTAGTCATTAAACACTACAAAAATATCACAGCCTATCTACAGATGATTTACTGCTAAAGTTTTCAGATAATTAATTTGTAAAAATAAATTTGATTAGCTTTGATCTGGGTGTTAACTACCTATCATTAAAATATCAGTGTTTTATTTTGTTGTGGATTATTTTTGAATATTGTGAATATCATTATCTATAATCCTTTGCTTAGCCAGATCAATTATCTGCCATCACTAATCCATTGCCTACCCAGATGACTTCCATTCTCTCAAGCTGTCAGTTTCTCTTGAAAAATTTTGATAGATATATCGTAAAGTCAGGCTACAATACTTTAATGTAAGTTGTGATAGATTTTCTACCTGGAGAATGTCTTTTTACTGAATTCTTAGTAAGCACTTCTTATTAGAAATTCTTGTGGCTGTATATAAGTAGAAGTACGGTAACTCTTTTCAAATGGCAGACAAAATTCCAGAGGGGAATTTAAGCTTAGAAACAGTCAGAACCAAATTTTTCCTTGAAATTATTTTTTTATTAAATGATAAGTGTTCTATAATGACAAATGTCTGTATCTGATGAAAGCAAAATGTGTTCATGAAATACAAGATATCCCAAATCACAGTATCAAGTCCATAAATTAAAATTATTTTTTGTTGAAAATATTATTTCCAGATTCCTCAACAAAATAATGTAAAAAGTAGGGGAAAAAAACCCAACCTAACCAAACCAAATCAAACCAACAAAGCCCTCTTTAAAAGATGTTTTTCCTGGGATAGAAAAAGACTTTTTTTCTACTAAGCTTCCTGAAAGAATATAGATTTATTTTAAGTCCTCATTTTGCAGAGACTCTTGCTACATTTTTAGATATACTGTCTACAATTGGCAAGCAGTGTTTTTTCAGAAAGCTTTTGAAAATTTCTCAGACAAGATTTCCTAGTAGCCTTGCTATTTGGCACAAAGCAATTGAGGACTGTGAAACAAACAACCAAGTTACATTTCAGTGTTTACCTGGAGTCTTGGGAAGTGTGTAAATGTATGGCAGGGTGAGATTATCCTCATGCTTTCAAAAACTCACCACCTTTTTGCAGCTCCATAATTCAAGTTTAATGTTGCAATAATGGCAGGACACATTGTGACAGCTACAAATGGCTCCCTGTCTGCAGCGCTTGCTGCTGTACGGGAGGGGGATCGCGAAGAATTCCTAACTCAAAAAGCCATTTCTTGTCATATTTTCTGTCAGCCATCAAGGACATGTCTGTCATGGAGAGCAGCTGAGTAATTCACAGGACTCAAGTGCCACTGTGCCTGTGGTTGCTGTGAGCAGGTTTTCAGAGGGGATGAAGGGCAGGGATTTCACCATGAGGATGTGGGCAAGGAGAAGTCCTGCCTTCTGCTGTCAGGTCACAGCTTTGCTCTAATGGGACATTCTGCCTTCCCACAAAAGGTCCAGGCAGCCCCATTAGTCAGAGAGACCTTAGAACCAGCACTTGCCATGCTTTATGTCCTCTGCGTCTTTATCTGATGCTGGAGCTCTTCCCTTTCCTCCCTCCCAGCTGAAGGGTGAGAAGACAGTGTCTCAGGCTCTCTTGGGAGGGAAGGGAAGGGGCAGGAGGAACATGGAGAGATGACGGGGTCCCAGTTCTTGTCCCTGCTCTGGTTCCCAGGCTCTCACACGCATCACTCTGGCAGAGAGGGAAGGGAAGGACTGTGGACAGGACAGTCGCTTCCTACCAGCCAAGAGGGTCATGAACCCAACTCTCATACAAAAAGTATTATTAAAAACAAGCTGGGAAAAAAAGCTTCCTAGTATTTGGCCTGCAAAACAGAAAATAGCATTATCTCTGGAGCAGGAGCAAGTATGAAATCCTGGAAAGCATTCATAAACATGAAATATTTTTATTCAATGTTTTAGTTTCCAGTAAAGCTTTCATGACCCAGGTCTTTATTATCATACAGTCGTATATGAAGCCAGGAGTGTCATTTGAGCAGGATAAATTAAGCAGATAAATACCCATTGATATTGTCTAATGAATATTCAGCTGCATTTGATGCATTGGCCAATATATTTTTCAGATTTTCTAGACATCTTAGTTGAAGCCAGAGATCCCTATGCTGCATAGTATGTGTTCTGGCACAAATTTTCTGCACATTCCAGGGTCATTTTGCTGCCTATTATTGATTTTTGCCTTTTTATTTTCCCCAAAACTCCCAAAATCTACTCAGAACCCCCCCAAAATCCATCCAGGACCCCCCAACCCCCTTCACTCTCCCCAAAACTCACCTAAGACATTTCAACCATAAATTCCAATATTTATTTAAAAGCTTGGGAATGTAATATTGGGGGGAATCCCAGGGAATTAGGGGGTTGCAGGGCAGGATTTGGGGGTCCCAGTGGGGTTGGGGGGTGAGGGCCTTGTTTTTGGGGAGACACAGGGGGGATTTTGAGGGGGCTCTGGAATTTGAGGGTGGCATTTGGGGTTTCTAGGTGGCAGCAGGAGAACATTAAAGGCTGGCAGCTTGGACAGTGGTGAAAGTCATGGAGACATGATTTTCAAACCCTTGTTCTAGGCTGTACTAGACTTAAATTAAAAATATTTTCCTTCAACTTGGAGTATTTTTTTTTTCATTTGGAAGGTATCCCGTCTAAAATAAATCTAAATCAGACAGCGTTAAGGTCAAAAAGCTGTTCAGTTCAATCAGGTCAAATATGTTGTAATCTAAATTAAGTCAGTTACGTAAAATATTGGTGATTTTGGTGTTCCCACACTCACAGAAACAAAGGGCAATTCCTATAGCAGGAAAGAAAATGAG